TCGCGCATACTTCGTTAGCCCGTGCTAAGGTCTAGACCGCGTCTTAAATTCGGATCAGATTTAACCTGTACTTAGCATTCCTTAGCCCGTGCTAAGCGTTCACGCACGTTTTCTTAGCACGGGCTTAGGAATTTGACCTCTTAGCCCGTGCTAAGGAGCTGTGCGTGAACGCAACTAATATGTTATTTCTGTATCCCTGGTATTCATGTTATCTTTTAAAGTTTACAAAATGTTTGTATAATAATGAGGACAAAATAATTTTTTCATTCATACCATACACCACAATGAAGTTAGACAAATTTTATTTCATAACAAACTTGGAATCCATTTGAAGGCTCACAAACAACTGGTTTTGAAATCAACACCCCTCTCTTCACATGCGTGCTCGATAAAATAGCATCACAGCGGTTAAAATTAAGGTTGAAAAAATTATTGGCATTGGCTTGGGAATCGCAACTCATACTTGTAGTTTTGAAGCAATTTGTGTACAATAGCCCATTATAACCTTGATTATAAAATACTAGTAGTATGTAAATAATTACTGGTATATCATGTAAACAACATATGGTGACAAGGACAACTTACTCTGACAGGGCTTGAAGTTCATGGACATTAAAAGCTATTGCCTTGATGCCAAAAGGAATTTGTCTTAAAGTACAGATTTTTGCTTTACTATCCCTATAGTCTATTTTATCAAATTTGTTTTTAAAGTTCAAGGCCTGCTCTGGTAATGTTATTTATTTTCTCACCACTAAAGATTTGACACATATAAGGAGTGAGAATTGAATCTAGAATGATGCATGCAATCAGATTTTGGATTATATTCAAAAATCATTTAAGTACAGTAAGTCGCACCCATTCGTTTTGAATAATTGATAACCAAAAATCCATTATTTCTCATATGTGTAGATGCTCTAATAGAAGGCACATCCCCTCTGTTGCATTGTACCATTTTAATAAAAGCCACGGTTTTACAGATTTTACAGTAATATTCAAATTAGCTCAGCAGAACTCCACAACAAAATATGCATGACTAATGTAAATGGAAAGACTTTCCTTTGTACCGCCCCCACACCCCTATCCTAACCCTACACCTAACCAGCATACATGTATTCTCCTAATTAAGTAAATTAATTGTTTGATTCCTGTGTACAGGTCACCGTATTCTCCATGGCAACGGTAAACTATCGCTGACCACCAACTCGCTGTGTTACTTTAATGACTGTTTCTCGCTTCTCACTGATGGGAACACTGATGCATCATGGGATACCAAATTTAACCAAAACTTGACGTATCTTTATGAATTTATGAAGAAATCACCAGCACTTAAAGTAAGTCTAGATAAAAATCAGTATGACACATGGAAGATGAAACAAATGAACACCGCTTTACTGAATACTATAGTGTGACACCACACATTTGATGGTGAATGTACTTTCTTCTAAACAAATACACTGTTCCAAAGCAGACACATTATTTGATCCATTTCAACCCATTGGGTGTCACCAGTTTTCCTGGTAAAGTTTAGCTACAACACTTTCTGCATTTTTATCATTTTTTCTATAATTTCTTTGTTCATTTTGGACCCAATTGACATCAGTTTTCTTATTATATGTCTATTACCCCGGTACTTAAAATGATAGAATTTTCCATTCTGTAAAATGCAAAATTTCCTTTAATTAGGGTAAACTATATCACCCAAAATAGAACGTGTTCCAGTTTATTGACACTAATAATAATAATAATAATAATAATAATAATAATAACTTTATTGCATCCTTAGAAATACAATGTTTCTATCACTTAATAGCAATAAAGATTAATTGTGATAACTACTACTACAAAAAGAAAGTTAGTTGTTAATGGGATAAAGCAAGTGTTACATATCAAATAGCATTTTCATTTCTTGATTGAAATGTGTTATGAATACTTGAATGGGTTAATTATGCAAGTACCTCAATATACAACTCCATAGATATAAGATAAGATAACTTTATTGACATAAATATATGTACATATGCAAGGAAACACAGATAGCAACAAGAAGTATCAATTCGAGGTCAGTAATTACTCATTTGGTTAATGCTTTTCAGTGCTTAATTAATAGGTAAATGTAAATATATGACTCATTCACAGTGTGTTTATTTTTGTTGATCACAGGTAATGCATGGTAACACCACGTTACTAGGAACTATCAATATTTCACATTTTCAAAGATTACACACTTTAGAGATCAGCGTGTGCCGCTACATCTACTCAT